GATGTCAATTAACATTTTCACATTTTTCTCTCGGTTCGAATTGCAGATACAGAAAATTGGCATTGAAATGGCATCCCGACAAAAATCCAGACAATTTGGACGAAGCCAATCGGAAATTCCGTGAAATTTCCGAAGCATACGAGGTCTTATCGGACGGTAAGTTTTTTCCAACTCTAATCACATCGTTTCGAACAACTTTATGGCAATTTGAAGTACCGTTTCCAAACCACATCGATTATACTCGACTGAACATTTTTTTTCAACGAAATGTTTTCCATCTGGGGGAAACGAGATTACAGTTCAATAAGAATAGTTTAAGTGAATTTTCTCTACATTGTCTCTTTTATTTCCCTCTTTCTTTTTATCTTTTCAAACAAAAAAATATGTGTCGAAAAAAAAAATGTTGTAGCAAAAAAGCGTAAAATCTATGATACACGCGGTACGAACAAGAGTTCATATCATAGCTACAGTCATCATCACAACCACGATTATTCGTCGTCATCACCACATCGACGTGGGAATCGTTATTCTGGCTTTACGTTTCGAGGATTCTTTGAGCCAACACCATTTTATAAAATCTTTGGTATATTAATACAGCGATTTTACTATTTCAATTGCTTAATGCATTTTATTTGTGATTTGAACACACCATTTCTTCGTTCATATACATTGAGTGTGTTTTTTTTTTGTTCAAAGTGGTAGAGAACGTCAACATCTAATTCAATCAATGTCGCTTAAAATGTGCGTTCACTAAAATATCGATCCCGCAGTGAAGTTTCCATTCATTTTTTTTTTTTTCATATTCAATCTTTGTCTCATATATTCGCTTCACGCCATACTATTTTAGCAAGTGATGGTGTTCAAACTTTTCCCTTCATATAAAAAAATTCCGGGTGAATAGGAGTTGTAAATAATTTTCACGATCATTTGTTTTATTTTAAAATCTCTCATTACATACCGACGTTTTTGACGTTCAATTTTTTTTAACGATTTTGTTCTTTGTGGAGAGTCATTCTTTCACTCGCTTTGTTTCGCTATATATTGATAACCAAATGCTGTTGGTTTTTGTTGTTTAAAGTTAGTGTTTTTGGTTTGACGTTTATTCCCAGTTTTTTTCATAAGCAACTAATAAGAAATCGGACGAAAAATAAAAGATGAAGAAGGTTAAGAGACTAATTTATCATGTAACTTCATTGAAATTTTGTGTGTTTTGGAGTGTGGATAACGAGAGATTTTCATTGCATATAAATAAAAACAAGAATTAACAAATTGCTTTTAATACAGTGTGATTAAGTAATTTTGATTGAATGTTGGCTAATATTTGAACATCTTATTCTATCTTTATTAATAACAGAGAGAAAGCGACGTGTATATGATCAATATGGAAAAGATGGATTGCTCGGACACAATGAACGCTCTCATCGGTCTCGACGTCACGACTATGACGATTTCGATTTTGGATTTGTGTTTCGTTCACCCGATGAAGTATTCAGAGAGTTTTTCGGCGTCAATTCACCATTTGCTGACCTATTTGGTGACGGTAAGAACGAATGATGACTTTTTTGATTGTCTCTTTAAACAATTTTGATTTTGTTTTTGTTTTTTTGTTTCATTGACACAGACTTAGGCTATGGTCGACGTGGTGGCCATCGGCATTCACATCCTCAGAACAGTACGTTGTTAACATCGTTTATTAATCCGTTTATGGGCGTTTCGTTGATGGACGACTTTTTTGGTCGAGCACCTGCATCAAATGGATTCACATCAATTTCGTCAATGTCATTTAGCAATGCGCCCGGCAACAGTAACATGAAACGAACATCCACCTCCACCACATTTGTCAATGGCAAAAAGCTTATGACTAGAAAGTATGTAAATCGTGTAATTTAATTTAAAGTGAAACCCTTTCCTCTTGAATGTCATTGTACGTCACACGTCACACGTCCTATCAGTGGCCAAACAGCAAAAAAGGAAACTATGTCCAAAATTTGTCCTCAATGAAAGACATTTTCAACGATTAGATGCTGCCGGCCAGTAGAGTTCGCTAAATGTACAAAATCAATGACATTCATTGAACTTTAATTTTGTCTTTTCGTTTTGAAAAAAAAAAAAAAAAAAAAAAAAAAATAAAATAAAAACGTTTCCCAAAAAATTCGCACCAAAATAATCGAATGGTTTTTTTTCTCGTTTCGTTCATAGGATCTTCGAGAACGGCAAGGAGACGGTGTTAAAATACGAAAACGATGTATTAAAATCGAAGACTGTGAATGGTGTGCAGCAAGCCATTACTTATTAAAAGCGATTACCTATTAGACAACATTTCACTTCATTTATATATCAGCGATTCACACCACCTTTATAAACAAGAAGAAAACAAAAATCAATGTTTTTCACGTAGTTTTTACCCCCTTTTTTTCTTATAATTCATCCAAATGGGTGTACTGCCATCATTCTCAATATGAAGAAAAGGCGACAGAATGCGTGTACAAACCAACAACAATCCCATTCACTTCTCCTTTAGAATGCTGCAGTTAAATTTAATTTATTTTCCATATCTTAAAATAAAAAAAAGCATAATTAATGTTTAGCTATAATTAATTACTATTTGATAAACACATTCAATGGCATACACATTTTATTGGACATATTATTTCGTGAAACACATCTTTTTTTATGTAACATTGAATCCGAAATTGTCCAATAACTGAATTGTCGTGTGCTTGATTTCATGGCGCTAGAGCGAAAAAACGAACAAAAAATCCATGAATAGACAACAAAACAAAAACCGAACAGTGAAAAAAAGACAAAAACATTTTTTTAACGATTTACTTGCTATATGTAGTCAACACAATATTGAAACACATTTAGTCAAACAAATTATGTTGCAGTCGAACGAATCAAAAGAGAGAGAGAAAATAATACAGAGAAGCCAATTGATTTTAATTGCAACTCTTTGTATACACATAAAAAGCCGAGAAAAAAAATGTTTTAAACGATCGATTTAACGAAAAGAGAATAAAAGAGAGAGGATAGGCTCGGATGCAGTTTGAATAAACAAAAAATGCAATTCAAATTCAATTTAAAAAAAGAGCGTCAATATTTTGATTTGAAAAGGTCTTTGAGTTGTGTGAATTAGCTAAATTTTTCGTGCAAAATGTTCACTTAGTTTTACAACCAATTTGTTCGTCTTTTATTTTGTCCAATTAAGTAAAATGTAAGAATAATTTGTGTTTAAATTCAGAAACGTCACAAACAAATTTGAATTTATGATATTTTTGCCAATAGCCAAAAAATCTCAGCTGTACTCAAAATACGAGAAAAAATCAATCAAACAAAAATCAGAAAAAAACTGCGAAAATTGTCAATTTATACATAACATTCAAAATCTCATTGTACTCTCACAAAAAAAATAAGCTACTTTAACTTAACGATAACCGAAGTTTATTCTCGAAAACGAAACAACAAAAAAATTACTTTAAATGAATATAAAGAAAAATGTGCGTAGTTTTAGTGTAATTACTTATGCGTGTGCGTGCGTTTGTGTGTGTGTATGTTTATCAAACTGATTCAATTGAGCCAATGTGGAATTGAGGGAACAAGAACGAATTAAGAGATCGCAAAAAATTATTTCTTGGATGCAACAACAAAAATCAATGGATTATATACGATTTCGGCACTTGCACAGTCATTTCGAATTCATAAACGCAAGCCAAAACAATAGAAACAAATTGATGCCAAACATCGTTTATTTTTTCGAATGTAGACAGATTTAGAACGGGAATCTCTAGAAATAATGAATATATGCTGAAAACGATGACGATTTGGCAAAAAAAAAATTCAATTTTAAATGTCTGTGTAGTTCAATTAAAATGATCTCTCTCATCCACATTAAGCCAACATTCATTCAGCATCATTGAAGCTATCGCTTCTGGCAGCTGACTCTCATGTAATTACATGATAAAAGACAAGAAGATTGTAGCGAGATCTTAGATGAGTACGAATATGGCGATGAATTTGTGACTTTGACTGATCCTGAGATAGACACATTGTTAGCTAAACTGAAAATGAATTGTTGATCCAATTTACATGATAAGAAAATATTTGATATCTAGATATAATAATTGTGCTTTCTTTATAATTTTCCGTTTTAATTTGCATCACCACTCGAAACTAAGCATAACCAAAAACATTTAATACACTTCTTTTCTACAACATACTTTTTGAATATCAAAATTCGGAATAGAAATGGAGTGCACACACATAACATAACTGTTTGAATAGATCACTATAGGAAATTGTTTAGCACACGGACAAAACGATATATGTGAGGCAATAGTCCAAAGATTATAAAATTGAAATAACATCTACAGATATCGCGCGCATAGAATGATTTAACATAGAATAGCAACTTTGCTTCCCAAGCACTTAATTAGTCTGATTTAATTCACTGCAAACACAATGTGTTGAAGCAAACAACTTGATAATTTGTTATTGTTTTTAGGAAAAAGACCGTTCTTTTTTATTCGAAACTGTATAAGGTTAATTATTTAATGCCACATTGACAGGTACCTTTAAGTTAGCTTTTTTTTTTGTTTTCGAAAAAAAGAAATTCGTTCTCGTCTCTGCTTCGAATAGCCCACGACCTTGTATATTTGATCATATTACATATTACTTTCTCTAGACTGCTGATAACGTTTTTATTTCGTACCACAATATCAAGAGTTAAAAATATGATACAACAATGATGGAGAATAAATCTTAAAGTTAATTATTTGCCATAACAGCAAAAGATCATTAATCAATGTATAAATTTAAGAAAAAGCAAATAAAATGGATATACAAATTTACAACAGAAATATTGACACATTTTTTTCCCATGATATCTCTTCGAATATGGATTCGCAGCAAATGAATATCACTCGGTGACTTTTTTCGAAGACAAATATAAGGGTTTGTATAATCGTTTTCAATAAGATCTGTTACAGCGAACTGTCAAAATTTTGAACAAACAACATACCCTCAACAAAATTCAAACCAAATTGACACGTTTAACTAAGGAGCCTCGTGTACTTTCGAATGGTAATGCGTTCCGAAATTCATTGTATTAGTTTGACAACACAGATCTTTTTGGAAATGACTATACTTAGTTCTATTTACCAACTTATTCTCTCTGTGCAGATTAAACATTATCTACCGACCTGCTCAAAATCACCTTTACTGAAAAAGAATCGTTTGAAATTCTTCTTCTTCTTCTTCTATCCAATAAAATTGATATTATTCATCTTCGGATTCGTCATTCTATTTCATTTAAAAAAAAATTAATCTCATTTGCTTGCAATATTTACAACCCATATAATTCATTTGCAGAGTAGTTTAGTCGTGTATGTGCTCAGTTGTGCACGCCTACTACAATGTTTGTTTGAACAAAATAAATGTATGCACAGCAAAGAATGCTGTTGCTCTCGTACTATCGACTAAATTACCCCGCAAATGAACTATATGGGAACAACCTCAAGTCATGAGTGACGTTCGAGGTTCGACTCTAGCTTCAATGCATTACTTACACACTTTTTTCGGAAACAAAATAATTATATTTAAATCAAATATTATTTTGATTGCTCTTTCAGTATCAACCATTTTTGATTATGTCGATGAAACGGTTAAAAATTTAACTTCAAAATTGACTGAAGAAAGAAAATTTTTGATGGTTTTGTGGGTAACCGGACACGCTAAAACCACGTTGACTCTACACATCACTGGTGTTGAATTAGAAGTAAAAGTAGACCCAGAAACTGGCGAAATTAAAATTATTCATGAACTTGCTTCAAAGACATTGACAATATCAGAGACGATTGTGCCAAATTTAATGATCGATAAAGAGAAGCACATAACATATTATGACTGTGGCGGTTTCGATACCAAAGGTCTTGGACATATTAGGTACGAAATCGCCATTAATTATCTGCTTAAAAAGTTGTGGGAACACGCCAAGAAGGTGAAACTTCTTTATACATTTTCTCAAGACGGATTCGAAAGCTATTTCTATTTTCCGAAGTTTCCAAAGTATAGCAGTAATATGATCTCAAATATTGATCATTATGAAAATGGAATAAGCTTAGTAATTACGAAAGTATATGATACTCGGGATGAGACTAATGTCGATCCAATCGAACGTAGAGGCCATAGACTTAAAGAAGCAATTGGTAACTTAAGGGATCACGACAAAAAAGAAGAAGAGAAAATGAAACGATTCGCTAGAATATTTTTAAAACGCGAACATGACACAAAATATGAGCGATTTAGAATTCATCGAATGGTGACAGAAGATAAAAAATTAAATGACATACCAATAATGGTTGCTGACAAAAAATCGGTAACAGAACTGGTTGAATCTCTTACGTGGGTTAACAAAAGAGATAGTGATTTTAGGCTTACTTTCTCTCAGGAGACAAAAGACGTCATTATTCAGCTAAATGACAAAGGATCGAGTACTATCTGTCAAAATATTTCCCCCTATGCCAAGCGAAATTAATTCGATATACGGCGCTGATGTAAATGTCACTCTGTCATTTCACAATAATACTTTTTTGGCTTGATAATATATAAGCTCTTCATTTAAAATGCATACACATTCATACAAGGGTATGGCATGCTATGTAAAATGTTGGCGAACAAAAACCTTACAAATTTGTCGGAATAAACCTTATAATTCTATGAACAAAATTACACAAATATGAGATAGTCAATACGAAATTGTATTTTAGATTCTATCCGATAGATGGCGTTACGGTTTGGCACGTCACCATGTCTCTCATATACGTGCCATTCACTTGCATTCATAATTATTGAATCGTTGAAAAAAACATGTCATAAAATATTTTTCTAACATTTTTCATTAAAAAATTTATTAAAATTTTTTTTTTATAAAAAAATTAATTTGTTTATAAATTACAATAATTTCAACAAAAAATGTTTCATCGATTAAATAAGAATCCAATGTAAATAGTAATGACAATGCGACACCTACCGTAAAAATGCAAAAAGAAACTTAGTTGGTCTCCATTGTAGCATTTTTGTCCACCATGACAGCATCTTCGTTTTACTTGACCAATCACAGAGAAGCAAAACGAAGATGCTGTTATGGCGGACCAAAATGTTACAATTCCAAATAAGTTTCCTTTTCTATTTTAACGGTAGGTGTCGCATTGGTATTACTTTTTACATTAGATTCTTATTGGAATTATTGTTATTTTTAAACAAATAAATTTAAAAAATAGAGAATTTTTATGATAAACGTAAGAAGAATATTTTATGATATGTTTCTTTTTTTACTCGACCGTTCAAAAATTATGCATGTTGAATGAAGAGCTTATATATTGTCAAGCTAAAAAATGTATCATTGTGGAATGACATAGAGTGACATTTAAATCAGCGCCGTATATCGGATTAATTTCGCTTAGCAAAGGGGGAAACGTCGTACTCGCTCCTTTGCAAACACTTTTGAAGATGATGAATCCAAGATAGGCGAGGAAATCAAACAATTTTATATCAAACAACAGAGCGAAGCAACAACCGTCACACAAAAACTTAAACTATATAAAAAAGTACAATCGGCATGTGAGAAGCTGTCGCAGATACCATCTGAAGAAAACGATTTAAAATTATTTGAAAAGGAACTGAAAAATGCTTTAATTTTACGTAAAATAAAAGGAATCAGTATGGATAATTTGAAAAAACTAATTTGAATGAGTTTATGAAAATTAATCTTTTTAAATTACCGGACGGATTTGAAACTGGAGGAAAATTGAAGGTGGCCATGCGCGAACTTAATGACTTAAATGAAAAGTACAAAGATTCTATACTCAATGTTAAGAAAACAAGTGTCTAGTTTTTCAAGACGAGTTCCTTTGGCACTAATGTGACATTTTTTTTTGAAATAGTTTGATTTATTTGACATTATTTTGTATTTTAATTGCTATTATTGGTTTTTAAAGAGGGATATATGTTAAGAGGTGTAATGCGCTCAATAAGCGTAATGCTTTGTTTGCCGAACTTCGTATAGACAGTGCCATCTATATATAGAATGGGATATTATTTCACAAGTTTGAGAATGAGCGCATATGTTATTCCAAAAATTGTTGAAAAATAATTTAATAAATTGTTTCATTTTTTGTTTTGAAAATGAAGTTAGCACAATTAGCATTAGATAATTTCTATTTAAAAAAATAAATTTATATGCGTTTTAATTTAACTTAAAAAGCCTCGGGTGTAGAGTGTGTAGATCTTGTAGAAATGATATTGTTATTGGGTGTATCGATTAATTTTTACCGTTTTTTGGGTGAAAATCTATATTTATTTGAATAACAAAATGAATGAGTACTTTAACCAATGTACTGCCCATCGTTAGCTATGACTTCCGCCCATCTTCTTGGTAGCTTGTCGATTCCGCGTCGAAAGAATTCCTCATCTTTTGAGGCTATCCATCCATCGATCCATTTTCGCATTCCTTCAGGATTTCGAAACGATATCTCGGGCAAACCCATTTGCATCGATCGAAACAAGTGGTAGTCAGAAGGAGCAAGGTCTGGAGAGTACGCGGGTTGATCAAGCCGATCCCAACCGAAGTCTTGTACTTTTTTTTTAACGATGTCTGCTCGATGTGGCCTGGCTTTATCATCGTGAAACACAACTTTGTCTTGTTTAGACGCTATCCGTGGTCGTTTAATCTTTAATGCATGCTCCATTTTGATTAATTGCATGCTGTAGCGTTGGGCTGTAACCGTTTCACCTGGTTTTAGCAGCTCATAATACACGACACCTTTTTGATCCCACCAAATGCACAGCATAACCTTCTGGCAATGAATGTCCCGTTTTGACTGCGATGGTCCTGGTTGGCCTGGATCAACATACGCTCCTTTACGTTTGGGGTTGTCGTAATAGACCCACTTTTCATCGCCCGTGACAATTCGACTCAAAAAACTATGTTTTTTGTGTTCTTTGAGATGTTCTCTGCATGCTGTGATTCGTGCTTTGAGTTGATTTTCGTTCAGTTGATGTGGGACCCATTTTCCTAGCTTTCGAATCTTTCCCATTGCGTGTAAACGTTTACAAATGATTGATTGAGTGACATTTAATTCCAATGCAAGTTGTTTTTGCGTTTGACATGGATTTTCATCGGGTAATGCTTCCAAATCCGTATAACTTTTTTAGCTGACCTGGCCGTTCTTTGTCTTTCAAATCAAAATCACCACTTTTGAATCGTTGGAACCATTTTCTGCAGCTTGAATCTATTGGAGCTTGTTTACCATAAGTATACGAAAGCATTCGTTGCACTTCAGCCGCAGTTTTCTTCGTATCAAATAAGATAAGGAGAGCACTTCGGAAAAACATTTTATCGCGATCCATTTTGAATTGATAAAAAAATAATGACACTGTGTCGAAAATAAATCTTTTTGCTCTTAATTAGATTGGCAAATGTCACATGTACAAAATGCAATTGGATTCACCTGTCAAACTTCATACAAGTTTAAGTGGCGACATCTAACAGTCAGCGGTAAAAATTAATCGATACACCCAATAAAATCTCCATACGTAAACTTATAAGTGTGAGTGTGACATTTGACGGATAGATACAAAACGTAATGTTATTGTTCTCTTACATACTTGTCATACACTCGTGCGAATTATTTTGTTCTGTCAAGTTCGTTTATTCCGTTCATTTATTTTATTTATATTCTTAATCTCGCAATCACATCGCAAAATTGCGTAAAAATGGCAGATTCTATTAACAGTTTTATTGATCTTGACACCGGCTGTATAAAATATCCTGATGGAGACTTTACTTTTA